TTATGGAATTTAGTCTTCATTATAAAGACAATATCTGTTCTATGACCCGTGAATGTTGATGAAGGCACGGCATCTGTACATGGCGTCCTGGAAATCCAACACCTGAGTGGCATGCTCAAAGTGTTGGATCGGTGACATATCTGGACATTTGGCTGGTCAGGGCAATGTTGTGACAACCCCTCTGTAGCTTCAGCCAGTCAGCTGCAGTACGAGTTCCATGAGGCTGTGCGTTGCATCCAAGAACTGGAAGTTCTGATTTACACACAGGGCAAATTGCATGGCGACTGAACGTACATTCTGGACATTTTTTAACCGTCATAATCTCTTGCACGGTCTTCAGATTCGTCTTCGTAGGCAAGTCTCTCTGTCTGTCTGTCTCTCTCTCTCTCTCGCTCTCTCTCTCTATATATATTGTATAGATATGCATACTGATGTATATGTACAGAGCATATAGCATATTAATAAACATCACCTTTTACTACTGTTACAGATATTTATGTTGTGTACCATAAAGTTTTAAAACAAACTATATATATTTCCCTAGATTTAAAATAGTTGATTGACAATTTAAGTTCGTAAAGGATTTCCTGTGTAATATACCTTTTCCGCAAAAGCCAGTCTAAACCATCAAGCAAAGCACCTATCGTGCTCTTGTCCTGCAGCCACATAACACCTTTCTCTACGCCATCTTAAAACACACTGTGTACCATCTGTATGGCGTTAACAGAACCTCGATTCATGAGAACGATGTATCTTCAATCCCGATGGTGACCAATACCAAACAGCTGTGCCCGCTCTTGTTTGATGATAAGTCCATTTATAGAGAAGATGAACGTTGGAAAAGCCTTTTAATATTAAAAGGGTGGTTGCCTGGTAAAACCTACACAGATAGGGGTTGAATAACAAAATCCATCTTTCTGTAAAGATGGGAATACTTGATGTTAAAACCTTTGTTTATGGTACAGCCTTCATAAGAACAGGGAATAGTTTGGTATTAAAACCTTTTAATACATAGATAGGGGAAAATATATAATGTAACCTGGGTAACACGTCATTAACATTTCACTGTTGTAATAAGAGCTCCTTACTTCTGCCCTGTACTTCACTATTAACTCATGTCTATATCACCCCCTTGATTAACGAGTAAGCACATATTCCATGACGACCTGTCGTGCCTTCAGTACACACCTGTAACATCGTCATTAGGTGATACAAGGGTTGTGTTGATAGGTCAAGGACGACGTGGCATGCCTTCAGTACACACCTATAACATCGTCATTAGGTGATACAAGGGTTGTGTTGATAGGTCAAGGACGACGTGGCATGCCTTCAGTACACACTTATAACATCGTCATTAGGTAATACAAGGGTTGTGTTGATAGGTCAAGGACGACGTGGCATGCCTTCAGTACACACCTATAACATCGTCATTAGGTAATACAAGGGTTGTGTTGATAGGTCAAGGACGACGTGGCATGCCTTCAGTACACACTTATAACATCGTCATTAGGTAATACAAGGGTTGTGTTGATAGGTCAAGGACGACGTGGCATGCCTTCAGTACACCTATAACATCGCCATTAGGTGATACAAGGGTTGTGTTGATAGGTCAAGGACGACGTGGCATGCCTTCAGTACACACTTATAACATCGTCATTAGGTGAACCAAGGTTTGTGTTGATAGGTCAAGGACGACGTGGCATGCCTTCAGTACACACCTATAACATCGTCATTAGGTAAAACAAGGGTTGTGTTGATAGGTCAAGGACAACGTGGCATGCCTTCAGTACACACCTATAACATCGTCATTAGGTAAAACAAGGGTTGTGTTGATAGGTCAAGGACAACGTGGCATGCCTTCAGTACACACCTATAACATCGTCATTAGGTAAAACAAGGGTTGTGTTGATAGGTCAAGGACGACGTGGCATGCCTTCAGTACACACTTATAACATCGTCATTAGGTAAAACAAGGGTTGTGTTGATAGGTCAAGGACGACGTGGCATGCCTTCAGTACAAGGACACGTGGCATGCCTTCAGTACACACCTATAACATCGCCATTAGGTAAAACAAGGGTTGTGTTGATAGGTCAAGGACAACGTGGCATGCCTTCAGTACACACCTATAACATCGTCATTAGGTAATACAAGGGTTGTGTTGATAGGTCAAGGACGACGTGGCATGCCTTCAGTACACACTTATATAACATCGTTATTAGGTAATACAAGGGTTGTGTTGATAGGTCAAGGACGACGTGGCATGCCTTCAGTACACACCTATAACATCGTCATTAGGTAATACAAGGGTTGTGTTGATAGGTCAAGGACGACGTGGCATGCCTTCAGTACACACTTATAACATCGTCATTAGGTAATACAAGGGTTGTGTTGATAGGTCAAGGACGACGTGGCATGCCTTCAGTAATACTTATAACATCGTCATTAGGTAATACAAGGGTTGTGTTGATAGGTCAAGGACGACGTGGCATGCCTTCAGTACACCTATAACATCGTCATTAGGTAATACAAGGGTTGTGTTGATAGGTCAAGGACGACGTGGCATGCCTTCAGTACACACTTATAACATCGTCATTAGGTAATACAAGGGTTGTGTTGATAGGTCAAGGACGACGTGGCATGCCTTCAGTACACACCTATAACATCGTCATTAGGTAATACAAGGGTTGTGTTGATAGGTCAAGGACGACGTGGCATGCCTTCAGTACACACCTATAACATCGTCATTAGGTAATACAAGGGTTGTGTTGATAGGTCAAGGACGACGTGGCATGCCTTCAGTACACACCTATAACATCGTCATTAGGTAATACAAGGGTTGTTTTGATAGGTCAAGGACAACGTGTTATGCCTTCAGCACACACCTATAACATCGTCATTAGGTAAAACAAGGGTTGTGTTGATAGGTCAAGGACATTTGCAACGTGTTATGCATTCAGTACACACCTATAACATCGTCATTGAGTTATACATAGTGTCGATTGTCTGGTCCAGACTCGATTTGTTATAACACAGACCCCCGCCATATAGTTAGAATATTGCTGAGTGCGGCCTCCATCAGTATACACCTAATATAATAACATCGTGATTACACTAGGCAGGGAGACTATATAAGGGGGTGTTGTAGAGTATCCCTGCACTAGGTTAAGTGACCTGGTTTAATCTCCTGGTAACCCCGCCAGCCCATCAAAGTATGTTTACCCCTGCAAGTGTAATATGAAGTCTGGTCATTTAAACAAGCAATGTTCATGTTCGTATTTGAGTACTCTTGTACCCATGATTGAGCAGCGCTGTTCAAAGGGACTTTTAACCCAATTCTGTCAAATCTTTTATAACTGTGTCGCTCTTTTGAGAGACGGTAAGCGTTCAAGGACGATCACACTCCACATATTGCACAATACATATGGTGACCTACATCGAGTACAAAGTTTTCACAGGTTTGCTATCAAAGGGAACATCGCAGGGTTCAGACAGTAATGAAAAGGGGCCAGTTAGTGGGACCGTCACAGTTCAAAATGTAGTATGTTTGGGAGTGAATACAAGTGTTATTACGTACATCACATCAAACCCTGCTGCTCGATCCTGAACAATAGATTACGTCAGCACTGATTATCAGCAACAATGCTTTGATAAGACAACGTTGTAGGCCGATGATGATTTTTATGGAGAAGCATGTACAATGTGAATGACCCCGCTAAAATTTATGTTCAAAATAAGTGACACCCCCTCCCCCAATATGTACACACACACCTGCATGTCATGTACAAAATCAATTACCCCCTCCCCTTCCCATAATTTCTAAGCATAATTTTGTATATATTTTTATGCACATAATTGCTGCACCCCCCTCCCCTAGTCCGTGTGTGTGCTCCCCAGAACAAAATGGATGACACCCCCTTAAAATCATCATATTGAACAAAACATGGTTTTCCCATAATTTCTAAGCATAATTTTACATATATTTTTATGCACATAATTGCTGCACCCCCCTCCTCTAGTACGTGTGTGTGCTCCCCAGAACAAAATGGATGACACCCCCTTAAAATCATCATATTGAACAAAACATGGTTTTCCCATAATTTCTAAGCAAAATTTTACACATATTTTTATGCACAAAATTGCTGCACCCCCCTCCCCTAGTACGTGTGTGCTCCCCAGAACAAAATGGATGACACCCCCTTAAAATCATCATATTTCCTCATTTTTTTCACTTTTTTTCAAAGTACAGGTACTCTGAACAAAATTGCTCACACCCCACCCATCCACACATATATGCACCTATAAAACCATAACACCATAGGCGCCCAACTCTGATATATTTCTAAGCATGACCTATATGTATAAGATCTTATATCTTATATATATAGGTCATGCTTATAAATATATCAGAGTCGGACGCCTATGCATTATCTACACCACCACCTCCCCACCACAACATACGAACGAAATTCTGTTTTCAGTTCACCGTGGGATGCAACAAGGAACCCAGGGTCAGTGCCAGTAGAACCTACGTTAGACTCAAGTCACGAAGGCGTCAGCAAATACATGGCCCCAGCCACGACACGAAGCCTCACTGACACTCGAAGCGGTCTGTCGAGTGATATGTAAAACGGTACTGTGCCAAAACGGCGTTAGCTAAATGGTATGACTGACTAATAAACTAGTTCTAAAAAGTGGTGTTTATGGCTTGTCGTCTATGTTCAATGAATGTATGAATAATGAATAAAGAATGATGATAATGTTATGGATATACAACTTCTTTATTCTGTGAAAGAATAAATTCTAATTAATGTAGTTGTCAAGCAAGTGATGAATACATGAATAGATACCCTTTGAATGTTGTTAACACGACAATAGACATATGCTGTAAAGGGTAAAATTCTTTTTGTTTTACGTGAACCTGCCAAAAATGCAAATGTCGGTTTCGTCAGTTGAATCCAAAACCGTTTTAGGTACTTCGGTTTTGCTTTTTTACACATAGTTCTATTTTGGTCCGCATCCGTCTCTTAAGTTGCACGTAAAACGGATGTGGTGACAGCGTACATCAGGAAATAACTGTAATCGTCTCATCAACATGGAGATCTTGGGGCTAATGTGTGTCCCTCTGTATCTGATCCTGGCTTTGGTGACAGCCGTACTATTCTATATGTAAGTTGACAGTTAGTCATTAGATATGCGTGTACAACACTTACCGTATTTCCTCTAATAAGCGCCGGACCTCTAATAAGCGCCGGACCTCTAATAAACGCCGGACCTCTAATAGTTGAGTTGAGTTGGGTTTTGCGTCACATCGGCATTATTCCAGCCATATAGTGACGAGAACAAGTTTGCATTAATAAACATTGTAAGTACATACTCGGAATGAGTTTTATTTCAAAAACATATATTCATTACATTGTCATTTAAAAGCAGAAAAAGTCATAGCATCAAATTTAAAGGCAGGCAATTTGTTAGTCACATTTCACAGTTACAATTTATGATACAGATCAACTTCCCTCAGGTAGTTCACTATCAGATGAGCGCTCACGCGGGAGAACAGATCTTTTAGGTTTGTTGCATCATAATGTGAGTCCCTTGCAGACGATAAGTCCACGCATTCAAGCAGAATATGCTTGATGGTGAAAACCTCATCGCAAGAGACACACATGGGGGGTCCGTCCCCATCCGTTTTCAGCAGATAGTCAGGAGTAAATCGACTGTGGCCAATACGACATCGTCGTAGAATTACCTCATCACTTCTTGACTGACAACCCAAGTAGGTATAACCAATTGTTGGTTTCAATTCATGCAGTTTATTTCTTCCTACTTGAGTGTCCCATCGTTTTTGCATGAGGTCCCGAGTATGGCTTTTGATAGTGGGTTTTAAATCGCTGTACGGGATCAGCAGTGGAGATAAGGGCTTGTCAAGAGCTGCTTTTGCTGCAGCATCGGCTTTTGTAATAAGCGCCGGACTTCTAATAAACGCCGGACCTCTAATAAGCGCCCAGACTCTAATAAGCGCCGGACCTCTAATAAACGCCAGGACCTCTAATAAGCGCCCGGCCTCTAATAAGCGCTGGACCTCTAATAAACGCCGGACCTCTAATAAATGCCGGACCTCTTATAAGTGCCGGACCTCTAATAAACGCTGGATCTCTAATAAGCACCTGGCCTCTAATAAGCGCCGGACCTCTAATAAAACTGGATCTCTAATAAAGCAGGACCTCTAATAAACGCCGGGGGTAAAGCAGCGTTTTAAGAAATAATTATATATACCAAGTAAGCGCAATAAGCGCTGGGCCTCAAATAAGCTCCAGGTCTGAAAGTCTGAAAAACCCTGGCGCTTTTCAGAGGAAAGACGGTAGTTCAGATACCCCGATCAGTCTTAGGTCGCCCAGTTGAATAATCTCACCAGAGTGGACATATTTAGTAATGAGTGTCATAGATATGGCAACATGTGATATGTCTAAGTAGGTAAAGTGTGATATATATTCCAACACGAGCTGAATTCCATGTTCTGGTGATTTCGACGATTGCATTGCTTGCGCTATATCGGGGGAGTACATGTGCAATCGGAGTGCACAAACAGTTTTACTGGTAGGGCGGGTGCCAAGTCGCTGTCGTGAGAAGTTTTATTGACAATGGAAATCGGGAAGAAAAGTTATATAGAAAGCAAACAAACATCAATATTATTTACACGAGATCGTTAATACCACTTCTAAGATGCCTAGCGGTTAGAACAATCGAAAAAAAAATACATTATCAGACAATAAAGGTATAGTTTTTTGATGACGTAACAATTGAATGACGTTATCCCGTCACTGCGCCATTCTAGTGTGCCCCCTCGTAATCGATCCATTTTACATAACGTCACAATGTCAGCGAAGTCACGATGCATGTCAGTTGTCATCGCCTCGTACGGCCTCCTACAGTAAACTACACCGTTGCATCCAGTTTCTTGGTTTGCTGTTGCTTCACGCAGCTAACATCACTGGTGGAAACATTACGTTTATGTTTTACAACGGTTAAAATGTGTCATTTCGACTCAAAAGTTTTCAGCGACACGGTAACGTTCGTAATGTTTACATTCCCACAATGCAATGCGTGGAATGTCGCTTTGACTACTCAACTTCCTCTGGATGTACTGATCTAAACTTACGTTGATAGTAGAAATGCAACGTTCATATTGCCCCATATGGTTTACGTTAATGACAGATGTAATTAAAATAATTCAGAGAAGATATTTAATCCGAACATAAACCGTCATCAAACTGTTATCATTTGTTTTTTCTGGTAGCGTTAGATCTTAGCGTAGGGGCAGACACATCAATAGAACAGGCGCCAGTTAGCCCTGTGCGAGGATTCTTAATTTAGGTCACCGACACCGTCGTTTGTTTTCTGCCTTAAATTAATCGTAATTATCTTTAGAAAGTATTAAATTTGGCATCTTAGAAAGAAATACACTTAAGCCCTACCACCATGTATTGTGTAATAAAACACACTTTTAGCCCAGAACTATTATAGCGTTAAAGCACTTTCGGGCGCCAAAGCGTCCTCGTGCTTTAACTATAATAGTTCAGGACAAGGGTGTGTTTTATTACACTATACATGGTGGTAGAGCGAAGTGTATTTCTTAATTACGATGCAAAATCAGTTCCCTTTATAACAAAACATAGCAAGTGAAAATTCAGTTAGATCAGTCGTCTGCTGGTGACAGGCAATATATAAATAGGAAGCCACGTGATCATAACACTCCCTCGCAGTGCAGAGCAAAAAGGAATTGCACAACGTCGAAAACCCATACAAAATACCCGGATGTTACAAGCGGCAACAGTTTCGCCGATACGATTTCATCAACGCTATTTTTGTAGGGAACACTTGATATTTTGTGTGAAATAGATGAATATATCCTTTATCACTCAAGGTTAGTAAAATACAAACTTTAAATGATATTACAGATGAAAAATATGTTTTTGTCTTACATCGTCGAAAACCCCTGACACCGGGATACCTCTTAGTATTTTAGAAAATGTTACTGTACTGGCTATCGAACAGTTGTCGCCATATTTTAACAGTATTTACAAAATTAATCTACCGTTCAAAACATATAAATTAATGAAACAGAATTAATTATGATACTTAATAAGCTATACATCGATGTGTTCAGCCCGTTCACTTCCACCAATCATGTTTTTATATAACGCGTCGGAAGGGAATCATGACAGTATAAATAGATGTTTTCTCACACTAACTGTAACAGTTATCGCCATTCCGAATTTCTCATGTCATTCATGAAATAATATATACTTATATCATACAGCAACCTCAAATAATTGATTGTGTGACTATTTGAGTGTTTCTTTTACAGTAGATGGTTAGGGAATGAAACAATTAATGGCATATGAACTTGAACTAGCTCTTATATAGGTCGTGGGACATCCCCCCGACTAAGTTAAATTCTATTTATAGGGTTCATAAGTTTATCTTTAATTTTTCTCTTGTGTTACTTACCGTGAAGAGTTTTCTTCTGCTGTCCTTTATTGTTGTCAAATACCGTGGGGAAAAAAATACTGCAATTGTAATTGACCGGAACTGCGCACACGTGATACTGATACTCAATTCCCCACATGGGTACAGTGTGTGAAACCCATTTCTGGTGTCCCCCGCGGTGATATTGCTGGAATATTGCTAAAAATGGCGTAAAACTAAAACTCACTCACTCACTCAAGCGCCCTGCTATAATGGCATGGTGACACCTAGTAGGCCCAAGCTCCCTGCTATCAGGGCATGGTGACACCCAGTCGTACCGTGCTCCCTGCTATCAGGACATGGTAACACCCAGTCGGCCCAAGTTTCCTGCTCTCATGGCATGGTAACACCTAGTAGGCCCAAGCTCCCTGCTATCATGGCATGGTGACACCCAGAAGGCCCAAGCTCCCTGCTATCATTTCATGGTAACACCCAGTCAGCCCAAGCACCCTGCTATCAGGGCATGGTAAGACCCAGTCGGGCCAAGCTCCCTGGTATCTTGGCATGGTGACACCCAGTCGGCCCAAGCTCCCTGCTATCATGCCATGGTAACACCCAGTCGGGCCAAGTTTCCTGCTATCATTTCATGGTGACACCCAGTAGGCCTAAGCTCCCTGCTATCAGGGCATGTAACACCCAGTAGGCCCAAGCTCCCTGCTATCATTTCATGGTGACACCTAGTAGGCCCAAGCTACCTGCTATCATGACATGGTAACACCCAGTCGGCCCAAGCTCCCCGCTATCATGGCATGGTGACACCCAGTAGGCCCAAGCTCCCTGCTATCATGGCATGGTGACACGTAGTCGGCCCAAGCTCCCTGCTATCATGGCATGGTGACACGTAGTCGGCCCAAGCTCCCTGCTATCATTTCATGGTGAGACCCAGTCAGCCTAAGCACCCTGCTATCATGGCTAGTGACACCCAGTAGGCCCAAGCTCCTACGTAACAGGACATAGTGACACAGTCACTTCAGATAGCAACTGGATGAAACACAAACAAGTTTGAGACAGAGACCATATACCGGTATATGGTCTCTGTTTGAGATGACCCTTTTGGACCAGTAAATCGATGTATGAATGTCATCTTGCTGTTGTTCATACTCTTCATCACCAATGTCCCGACAACCTTTTGACAGCTGACTTTGTGCATGGCTGTGATGTCTGTTGAGTCTTGTGCAGAATCATGATCTATGTTTTTCAGATACGCAACATGGACCTTCGATTACTTCAAGACTCGGGGTATCCCAGGACCACCACCTACTCCCTTCTCGGCCATGCCACTGGTGTGGTAGGTTCACTTATAGTCATTGAAACCACTGATATATCAGTTGGGACAATGTTTGTGAATGATTGTTGATAAGTTTCTGCACTGTTGTCTGCTGAATGACCAAGCAATCAGTTATTTCAGGAAATAGTCATGTAGAGCAGACATTACAATAATGACTTGTTATCCATTTTACAATTAAAACAAGGACTTGCCATGTATTGCTTGATTCTAATGTCTTTCCATTTTAACAGAGCTTCTTCCACAAACTCAAAGACTGGAAACGGCAATATGGAGACGTTTTTGGGTAGGTGCATGCAAAGAGGATGCCAGAAATCCTAATATTTTACATTAAACTATATTTTACTTCACTCACTTGGTGACCTCTAATTTTGGTTCACAATAACCATAGTTCATTGTATTCATTTTGGCTAAATATACAGCTACTGGTCAGGACAGTAAGTTTGTTATAAGTGTGTTTGTTCTAAACTTAGTTTAATAATAATAATAATAATAAGAAGAAGAAGAGTACTTTAATAGCGCCTCATCCACACGACTCGGGGACATGCTCTAAGCGCTCTAGTTTACAGTATATGTTATCCTTTCTGTTGTGGTCCCAACAGGCAACAGTTGTAGAGCAGTGACAACAGTCTGTCTTTTGTGATTGTATCACATCCTGATGTGGTTAACTTCTAGGCATTGCTTTGCCTGGACTAGACATGACTAGTGACGACCTGTGAAGATCCTGGGTTAGAATTGATCTTCAGCAACTCATGCTTGTCGTAAGAGGCAACTAACAAGATTGGGTAATCACTGGATTGCCTGGGCCCCTATTCTAGAAAGGATCCTAGCCCAAGGATGTCCTAACTTTGATCCTAGGGTCTAGGATAGGTGTCCTACCTTATTCTCGAAAAGTATCCTAGCTCTAGGATGTCCTAACTTAGGACAAATACTAGGATAGGTTCTGACGTGTCCTAAGTCTATCTTAGTGGAAGTCAACATAGAGTGGTACTTGTTTGTTCACCAATTTTGACGTCAAACAAAATAACTCGTCAAACTTACATTTGAATTTACAACTGCACACAGTTTTGATGAGTTATGAAGAGTTTATTCAGTTCATATTATCAATTAATCGGTAATGAATCACGTGAAATGTCAATGTCAAGGCCAACTTGATAGGGGAAGTAACTCCTGTTTATTTCCTAGGTGAATTTTTTCAGTTTGTGAGATGACGATAATGAGAGTTCAAGTCATGATTTTCATAAAAAACAAAAACAATGAAAATATGTTTTACACATATCTTTAATATCCTTATTTCTTTTGGCAGACTTTCAAATTCTGAAGTAAAATTGTTATCGCCTTTGTCAAAAACATTTCCAATTACTATAATGTGATGAAAATATCTGGATAATTTCTTCTAGATCTACTAAGTCCATCAAAAGCTGAATTTCCCCTTATATTATGTGTTTTTTATGCCCACTAATCATGGGTATTATTTAGGGGAATCCCCAACTAAATGAAGGTTTTTCTATCTCACCTCCTGAAGAGCTCGCTATCCTAGCTAGGATAGGCAGCACAAGTTAGGACAGGGATAGGATTGTTTCGAGAATGGGTCTTATCCTTACGGTAGGATGTCTTAACTTCTGTCTTAAATACTTAGGATCTGTCTTAGCTGGGACACTGTCGAGAATAGGGGCCCTGGTCCAGACTCATTTATGTACAGCCATATAGCTGAGTGCGGTGTTTAACAGCAAGCCAACCAAACCATGACTAGTGACAGCGTTCAATGAAATATTGCAAACTGTTACGTAAACAGTGTCCACTTATTCAATCAAGTTGTTACTGTAAGGATAACACACTTGTCGCAACTCTCCAAACACGTTCTAAAATTACGCTAGTTGTAATGATTGAATTGTCTCGTTTAAAAACAACAGGTCCTGTACCAGACGTCATTTTGCTGAATGCAGTGTATTTCTTTATTCAATACTTTCTCATGTTGGGTTTTGTTTTGGGATTGAAGGATATTTGTCGGAAGAAACCCAGCCTTAGTCATATCTGATCTGGACATTCTGAAGGAAGTGCTTGTCAAGAGCTTCAGCACCTTCAGGAACCGACTTGTAAGCAATGCAGTCATCTAACTTATTAATAATATTATTTGTAAAGAAAATAACTCTCTAATGCATAAACACAGAAGAATTTCCTTTGTTCAAGTGTCTTGTCTAGATTTACTGATATTATGCTCAGATGTGACCCTATGACCACTCTGAGGACTGACACATTACAGTAGAGTGTTATATATCCGATGTACAAGCTTGTTAACATATGTTCTAGAAATTCCTACTAATTCCGTCCCCACTCAGCCTGAGTGTGTTCTTCCTGGAAGATGCTCCCTGGAAGAGGGTGAGAAGCATTATCTCCCCTACCTTCAGCAGCGGCAAACTGAGACACGTGAGTCCCTCTCATTGCTTCTAACCCATGAAGATACTGGTTAGAATTGATCATAAGTAACCCATGCTTGTCGTAAGAGCAGACTAACGGGATCGGGTTGTCAGACTAGCTGACTTGGTTCACACGTCATCGTATCCCTATTGCGTAAATCGATGCTCATGCTGTTGATCACTGGATTGTCTGGTCCAGACTCGATTATTCACAGGCCGCTGTCATATAGCTGGAATATTGCTGAGTGTGGCGTAAAACTAAACTCACTCACTCACTCATTGCTTCTGTTAGGTATGTACTTCACATAGTGATTGAAGGCATAAAGTAGAACCCCAACAACCAACACATGATAGTAGTTTCTGAAAAAGTTCAATAACTGGTTTGCTAGGTCCTGGCTGATGTTTTACAGGGTGCCATGGCACCTCATTTAGCTGAAACAATCCCATGCGTGGTGGTTCACAAAAACAAGCAAACACATGCACATCCGAGTAATAAGAAGTAGAAGTATTAAGAAACAACAAGAAATATAATAGGTTGAATTGAAAATGGAATGCAAAGTAACAAGCTACAACTGAACAACTCAACATCCGGTCTGTTTGAGACGTAAATAGGTGCCAGGTGGCAATTGCCCTGCGCCCATAAATATTGATGACAGACTCAATAACATTACAGAGTGCATCCACTGGAACACAAACCAGTTGTACCCAAGTTTAGAAAAAAATGTCGTTGTTTCATGATGTGGTATTCCTTGTAGTAAATAACAGAGTGGTACTGTATTTATGTTTTAACATTTTTCTGGGACCTCCATTTTTCGCTTTGGACCCAGGTTTTTTAACCTCGACCTATACAAATAAAGGCCATGAGTCACATTGAACTCCATCTTATATAACTCAGGGCAATCTCTCTGAGCCGTACAATGTACATGCATGTTGTTAGGTTTTCTTGACAACAGTTCCATTTACTGAGGCCAATGTGACAGTATACTACTAAAGCTGAAGAAGACCTAATTTTTCCATTAAAGAATCAGCTGATGTTTAACTTCTTTTGTGAAGTGTATATAATGTTACAGAGGGTTTTTTAAATGAGGTTTTTCACCTGTTTCTAGATGTGTGCTGCCATCAACCAATGTGGTGCCACTCTATCCAAAAACTTCTGTGCAGACATGAAGAAAAAGGAAGGGGTGAATATGAAAGAGTAAGTTCAACGATTCTTGTAGAACCTTAAGTATTATCATGTGTGCTCAAATAGATTTATCTAAGTTTATATACATGATAACATTAAGCACGTTAAGTATATTAATTGCTGTATTCAGAGATTGATCTAGATATACAGCAGCACTGTTCACTGTGTGGAAGTCTGTTGCAAAAATTGCCTTCTACCCATAATGTGAAGTCTGTTGCAAATCACTACCACACTTGGGACAGGTAGGGGAACATTGTTTGATCATCTCTATGTTAACGACTGTGTCTTGGTGTAATTTATACGACACATTGTTCATAACTGCTCAACCCATGATCGATACTTCTCCCAATATCTTATTTCAGTGAATAAACAGTAATGTGGGACTAGGGTTTTACGCAGCTTTTAGCAATTTTCTAGCAGTGTCAGGGTACGCAAACCAAGAATTGGCATCATACATTGTACACATAAGGAATTCATCTTTGGTTTGAATTCCACATAGCAAAATTTGACAAATTAAAGTCATAATTTGTTTAGAAAATAATGTACATGGAATACTCACATACCTTGTTTCGGAGAGTGAAGAAAGTGTAGCTTTTCCCTCAAGCTGGTCATGTGAGATAGTTATCAGTATGTATGAGCGGCAACTAGGGATGGGCAGAATAGATCACTAGAGTTGTGTCTTAGTACTCTTACGCTGATCAATCACCGGCCGTGGACATAAAACTTCAACTGTTGACTGTGATGTCAATAACACTCCCCCCGTACACTTTTCAGTGGTTTTCATCAGAAATCCTCCAGGATTGTGCCCCTTTAAGGAGGAGCATTGTATTGAAATATATCCCGGTGTCAGGGGTTTTCGACGATGTAGGATAAAAACGTATTTTTTATCTGTAATACCATTTAAAGTTTATATTTTACTAACCTTGAGTGATAAAGAATATATTCATCTATTTCACACAAAAATAACAAGTCTTCCCTACAAAAATAGTGTTGATGGCATCGTATCGGCGAAACTGTTGTCACTCGTAACATGGGGGTATTTTGTATGGGTTTTCGACGATGAGCCATACTTTCTGCTCCGCACTGCGATGGAGTGTTGTGATCACGTGGCTTCCCATTTATATATTGCCTGTCACCAGCAAAAACTGATCTAACTGAATTTTCGCTTTCTAGTTTTTGTTATAAAGGCAACAGATTTTGCATCGTAAGTGGTATTAACGATCTCAGGTAAATAATATTGATGTTTGTTTGCTTTTTATATAACTTAACTTCCCTATTTCCATTGTCAATAAAACTTCTCACGACAGCGACTGGGCACCCGCCCTACCAGTGAAACTGTTTGTGCACTCCGATCGCACACGTACTCCCCCGATATAGCGTGTACAATGCAATCGTCGAAATCACCAGAACGTCGAATTCAGCTCGTGTTGGGATACTACATAACATTAATCTGCGATATTCTTTTTCAGATATTTTGGAGCTTACACCATGGACGTGATTACACAAACGGTCTTTGGTGTAAAGGTCGATTCCCAAAATGATTTCAACAACCCTTTTGTCACTAACGCCAAAGCAATATTTACATTACCAAAAGCAAGAAGAATCTTGCCCGTCTTAGCAGGTATGTTGGGTACTTCTTCCTTCTATAGCCCTGTACATATAATTTTACACTGAATGGATTTGTTTGGTCTCTGTAAATTGGCTTTTCAGACATTAGTTTTACACTATTTATACCACACTATGTCAGGATTAACAGTAAGACAAGATGATATTTGAAACATATCTTTAGCAGTGATGAAATAATCAAATAGACAGTGACTACTAACCAAAATTCAGGATCGGACAAGTTGGACAGGGAGGTATTCTGTCAGATTCTCTACACAGTATTGTTGATGGATATGATACGATCACGAACAGCTTCTCTCCTGTCCCACACTAGTAGAGTCAACAAGGTCCCCTCAACAGGACCCAATATCATGGTGGTAGAGCAACTGAAATGTGATGGTGCAGTTGATGCTGATGACATTGATGTTGAAGTGTCAAGGTCCCCTCGATAGGCCCCCAATATCAGGCTTGCTGACTTGGTTGACACGTCATCGGTTCCCATCGGTTGTCTGATCCTGACTCGATTATTTGCAGACCGCCGCCATATAGTTGGAATATTGCTGAGTGCGGCGTAAAACTAAACTCACTCACTCACTCACCCAATATCATGCTGATTCAGATATAGTCAAGGTACTGAAATGTATCTTTGGTTTTATGCTACTTTCCTGACAAGGGCATTCACTAAAGACCTGCCACGTTGGACTTTCCTCCCAAATCAAAATGATGTGCCATAATAATGTTTCTTCTGTGCAGGGTTGGTGCCTGGACTGGAACACATCCTCTTAAAGCTGGGTTTAGGAGTATTTCCGCAAAGAGTCCTTGATTTTTTCCAAACAGCTGTCACAGAAATTATGAAACAGCGACAGAATGACTCAAAGGAACAGCAAAAGGTTAGATATCCCTGTTGAATGTTTGCTCTTGTTAATAAAACAAAGACCATATAGGGAATTTTCTTAAAACATTTGCAGACAAACAAATCACCAAAAAGTTATTCATTGTAGATAATTCTGATAACTTACATTTTAATAGTAACTTACTACACTATAATCAACCTTTTCTAAAGTAGCGAAATAATTGTTGAAATTTAGCAGATTTGGCATATGGTAAGAAAATAAGTTCAAGAAATGTGTTCTATAATATTTACTTGTCGAAAATTGGTGATGTATGGAGAGAAAGTTTCATTATGTTTGCATGTTTCATTAAAGTTATTTACTGGAATGTTAAAGTGTCAAGAATATTGTTAATTTTAATTGGGATTCTTTCTGGTATCTGTCAGCCATGCAGAAATCAAAATTTGTGTCGAATAGATTATTAATTAATCCAACTTTTTAGCTACAAGACATTCTTACAATCCTTAAGATGCTTGACCAAGCATTATGTAACTTTATCTTACACATTATAAAAAGTGACCATACCCTTTCCATAATTTTAAAATTAAACTGTATAATGTATTATACAAGAAAACATATTGTATTGATAGAAGAGAAGCGATTTCCTGCAACTCTTGATGGAGGCTGAAATAGAGGATGATGCTGATGACGATACTGACACAGCCAGTGGTCAGATGTCAGACAAACATACTGTCAGACGTGAGTACAGACACCCTCACGAGTGTGTGGAGTGCTAGTATGGCTCAGGTGGTCAGATGTCAGACAAACATACTCTCAGACGTGAGTACAGACACCCTCACGAGTGTGTGGAGTGCTAGTATGGCTCAGGTGGTCAGATGTCAGACAAACATACTCTCAGACGTGAGTACAGACACCCTCACGAGTGTGTAGAGTGCTAGTATGGCTCAGGTGGTCAGATGTCAGACAAACATACTGTCAGACGTGAGTACAGACACCCTCACAAGTGTGTGGAGTGCTAATATGGCTCAGGTGGTCAGATGTCAGACAAACATACTGTCAGACGTGAGTACAGACACCCTCACAAGTGTGTGGAGTGCTAATATGGCTCAGGTGGTCAGATGTCAGACAAACATACTCTCAGACGTGAGTACCCAGATAGCATTGGTATGTTGGCCCATAGTTGGCCCATAATCACCAGTTTGGTTGGCCCATTGTTGGCAAACTGACGATGGGCCCACTTGGATATGCTCATCGGGTCCACGTTGGCCCATCTTGTTGGCTGATTGTTGGGCCAACGAATGAAAATTCACACAAAACCATGGCCCATAGTTGGCCCAACGTAGTGATTTTTGTTGGCCTTATGTTGGCACCACCGTGTTTCAACATTTAGCTCTTTCTTGACCTTTGTACTAAACCATGGCCCATACTTGGCCCAACGATGTGATTTAGTTGGCTTTATGTTGGCACAACTGTATTTCAACATTTCAGCTCTTTCCTGAACTCTGCAATCAGAAACATATATAAACAACACAACAAGTTAATCAAGTGAACTGATTTTTTTTTTTCATTGTTATTTGAACATTATTGTATTTCTTGAAAATATTCTTGTCTTAGGTCTTTTTTGCTGTCGCCATGACAGGTTTTTCTCAACTGCTCCTGAAAAAACAACCCAAAACTTTCATGAAAATGTCAGATATCATAAATTTAAACATGAGAACTATCGTAAGGACATAGTTTTTGACCTTATGTTTTATTTGGAAACATACAACTTAATGATTGAAAACTTCTTGTTTATTGCACAGAGTGACGTTCGGATGTAGATTCTTACACTGTTATCAAGCTAAAACCAAATGATGAGAAGTATATATGAGTAGTATGTTTTGACAATCAGCAGTTTGACATTAACAACATGTAATTGAATAACAACTGGTACATTATTGGGAGAGGCCAGATGGGGACTAAGAACAACAAATGGAATGGTGATGAAGCCAATAAACAAGGGGATTTCAGTTGTAACAACAAGCTGATAGGGTGCTTTGATAGAGTCTATAGTTTGATTAGTTCTTCATTGGTCTGTCGTTTTCATGTGACTGCAAAATTTGGTTTTCTTGCAATTACTAGTATTAGATTTTGTGTTAGTGAGCAATTCATTGGTCTCAAATGAAATCAAACAGACTATGAGTTGGTGGGTTACTGGTTGAGGCTCGTGAAGACATGTTGTAGGTGGTTCTGCTCATGTTCTAGGTCATGGCTGCTGGAGGAATGTTCTTAGCGTGCTTGATCAGGGTTGAGATGACGCCAAACTTAGTTTTAGGGGTTGGTTTGACAAATTTGAAATCTTATCCACCAAGAATCAGGACTTCACAAAAGACTTTTTTGGAAGCCATCGAATCAGCCGCCACAAACCTTTGATCAATAGAGACCAAGGATACTACATACCATCGGCCTATGAAGAACTAATCAAACTATAGACTCTATCAAATCACCCTATCAGGTTGTTACAACCTAACACCCCACCCCTCCCTTCCTTGTTTAATTGGTTTCATCACTAGATCCATTTGTTGTTCTTAGTCCCCAACTGGCATCTCCCAATTATGTTTATTTGACAAAACATACTCTGTACATGTATATACTTCTCATCATTTGGTTGTAGTCACTTTTAGCTTGATAACGGTGTAAGAATACATCGAAGCGTCGCTCTATGCAATAAAGAAGAAGTTGTCATCCATAGAGTTGTATGTTTCATTTTGGACTCACCAACTTCTAGAATGCTGTTCAAATAATGTGTTATTTGGATATGACATGTAACTACTATAACTGTGACACATATATCTGATATGATGATGTTTTAGCAATTATTGGTTGTAAAGATGAATAATAGAGAGAGTTGTATATGGAAACAGGAGTGTAACTGACAAACACATTATGTTAATAAAGTAAACACAATAAATTTAAATAATTTAAAATGAAATGAGATTTATCAAAGTGGTTTAAAACAGGCTACCTAAAGAAAAGTCAATTAAATCTTTTATCTACTTAAGCAATTGCCTTTCAATACAGTATGTGTCAGTTTCTTTAGCCCAAATGATGATTTAAACCAATTATTTCACAACATATTCAGCAATTCAGTATCACAGAAATAACAATGCATATTTACCAGTTGAGAGGCCTCCAGAAATGTAGTGTCGTCTGCTCTTTTGAATATCAGGTAAAGCTATCAATGATGACAAGTTTGGTATTCAGTTTGGAGAAAACAATGCTGTAAACTTCACTGCATCATAGTTGAAAGACAGGAAATGGATTCATTCTTTTGTCTGTGTAATTATTTCAACTGTCATCAAAATCTTTATAAGAAAACATGGCTATAAATGGCGTTGTTACTCACTCTTTATTCACAATGTTGGGCCAACGGTGGCCCAACTTTGTGAAATAGATGTAAGATCAGGGCAAATAGGCAGAGTTTTTCAAATGTTGGCCCACCGTTGGACCAACGTGTCAAAAGCCACCGTTACTTTTAAGTCATTAAGATAACGTTGGGCCAATGTTGTCAAACTGTTGGCCAACCAACCAACCATATACCAACATTGGCCCAACACACCTTTGCTATCTGGGTACAGACACCCTCACGAGTGTGTGGAGTGCTAGTATGGCTCAGGTGGTCAGATGTCAGACAAACATACTCTCAGACGTGAGTACAGACACCACTCACGAGTGTGTGGAGTGCTAGTATGGCTCAGGTGGTCAGATGTCAGACAAACATACTGTCAGACGTGAGTACAGACACCCTCACGAGTGTGTGGAGTGCTAGTATGGCTCAGGTGGTCAGATGTCAGACAAACATACTGTCAGATCGTGAGTACAGACACCCTCAATGAAAGTGTGTAGAGTGCTAGTATGGCTCAGGTGGTCAGGATGTCAGACAAACATACTCTCAGATCGAGTACAGACACCCTCACAAGTGTGTGGAGTGCTAATATGGCTCAGGTGGTCAGATGTCAGACAAACATACTCTCAGACGTGGAGGCAGACACCCTCACGATGAAAGTGTGTAGAGTGCTAGTATGGCTCAGGTGGTCAGATGTCAGACAAACATACTCTCAGATCGTGAGTACAGACACCCTCACGAAAGTGTGGAGTGCTAGTATGGCTCAGGTGGTCAGATGTCAGACAAACATACTGTCAGACGTGAGTACAGACACCCTCACGAGTGTGTGGAGTGCTAGTATGGCTCAGGTGGTCAGATGTCAGACAAACATACTGTCAGACGTGAGTACAGACACCCTCACGAGTGTGTGGAGGGCTAGTATGTCTCAGGTGGTCAGATGTCAGACAAACATACTCTCAGACGTGAGTACAGACACCCTCACGAGTGTGTAGAGGGCTAGTATGTCTCAGGTGGTCAGATGTCAGACAAACATACTCTCAGACGTGAGTACAGACACCCTCACAAGTGTGTGGAGTGCTAGTATGGCTCAGGTGGTCAGATGTCAGACAAACATACTGTCAGACGTGAGTACAGACACCCTCACGAGTGTGTGGGGTGCTAGTATGGCTCAGGTGGTCAGATGTCAGACAAACATACTGTCAGACGTGAGTACAGACACCCTCACGAGTGTGTGGAGTGCTAGTATGGCTCAGGTGGTCAGATGTCAGACAAACATACTCTCAGACGTGAGTACAGACACCCTCACAGAGTGTGTGGAGTGCTAATATGGCTCAGGTGGTCAGATGTCAGACAAACATACTGTCAGACGTGAGTACAGACACCCTGTCGAGTGTGTGGAGTGCTAATATGGCTCAGGTGGTCAGATGTCAGACAAACATACTGTCAGACGTGAGTACAGACACCCTGACGAGTGTGTAGAGTGCTAGTATGGCTCAGGTGGTGGTGTGTTGTTCTTGTGAATAGAGCCCAGGTCACAAATCAGTTAAGTTAGACAACATTGGTCATGCAGTGACCTTGGATGGGTGACCGTGCTTGGCAGCTTAACTCCTGAGAGTTTCTGGCACTTAAATCCTGCCTCTCAACAAAGCACATGTGACACATGTGGTCTTACCTTAGGCATATGCTGCCTCTGTTCAAGCAGCAATGAATGCATACCCAGTGGGATAAGTTATATGTTTTTTAGCATTCTAGCACCTCACAGGCATCTTGGAGAATAATGTCCCTTTTGTTATGCAGCATGGAATACAGTGCTATATAAGTGTGGCCTCACTGTTATTAGAAGCGTATGCCAGTGATGTAGCGAGCAGTGGTTGTGATGTAGCGAGCAGTGGTTGTGATGTAGCGAGCAGTGGTTGTGATGTAGCGAGCAGTGGTTGTGATGTAGCGAGCAGTGGTTGTGATGTAGCGAGCAGTGGTTGTGATGTAGCGAGCAGTGGTTGTGATGTAGCTGAAGCAAGCAGTGGTTGTGATGTAGCGAGCAGTGGTTGTGATGTAGCAAGCAGTGGTTTGTGATGTAGCAAGCAGTGGTTGTGATGTAGCAAGCAGTGTAGCGAGCAGTGGTTGTGATGTGAGCAGTTGTTATGATGTAGCTGTGAGGAGTAGCAAGCAGTGGTTGCGATGTAGCGAGCAATTGTTATGATGTAGCGAGCAATTGTTATGATGTAGCGAGCAGTGTTGTTGTACATTGATGATATAGGACTCACTGGTCCAGGTAATTCAGGTTATTTGCAGGCTGTCATCCAATGTATCGGAGATGTTGCCATATGTGACATTAAAAACACATACTTATATGACGTAATCTTGTTTGTGTACCTGTAGCCAAAACTTACTTTGACAGGTCTCTCAGTGGATGAAATAGTTGGCCAAGGGATTATTTTCTTCATTGCTGGATACGACACAACTGCCTCGACACTGACCTTTGCGTCGTACTGTCTCGCCATGAACCAAGATGCACAGGAGAAGGCATATAAAGAAATTCGAGAAGTGTTGGGAAATGTCAGTATGAATTCTTGAGTGCAGTTATGATCTCTTTCATACATGTTATATAAACCAAGGCACGACCGTTAAACCCAATTTCACCTCACCTATATAAACCAAGGGTTAAAACAGGTCCTCAGCATGTATGGCGGTTTATGAGGAAACCCAACAGATTATCCGGAAGGGCTGGATGACAGTGTGTCCTTGTATGCTGAGGGCCTGAATTGTTGCTCACAAAATTGATCACTGGATTGTCTGGTCACCATTACATAGCCTTAGTGCAGCATTAAACAGTAAACAAACATGTTGCTGGTATGTAAGACAAAAGCCATATGTAAACCTGGGTGATTCTCACAAAGCAGTGCATTGTCATTTTATGATAAAGGCATCTGTAAAGAAGATTGTATGACCGTTCATATGGCTAGGGGGAATGGTTTCAAGGAACGCATGTAATGATGATGATTGTTTCGAAACGCATGTACAATGTGAATGATTAAAATTCATGTACAAAGTACTTGGGGCAAACATTTAGTAGTAAATATTATCTTCTACTGATGATGATTGTTTCGAAACGCATGTACAATGATGAATGATTAAAATTCATGTACAAAGTACTTGGGGCAAACATTTAGTAGTAGATATTATCTTCTACTGTTGATGATTGTTTCAGAAACGCATGTACAATGTGAATGATTAAAATTCATGTACAAAGCTCTTGGGGCAAACATTTAGTAGTAGATATTATCTTCTACTGTTGATGATTGTTTCGGAAACGCATGTACAATGTGATTGATTAAAATTCATGTACAAAGTACTTGGGGCAAACATTTAGTAGTAGATATTATCTTCTACTGTTGATGATTGTTTCAGAAACGCATGTACAATGTGATTGATTAAAATTCATGTACAAAGTACTTGGGGCAAACATTTAGTAGTAGATATTATCTTCTACTGTTGATGATTGTTTCGGCAACGCATGTACAATGTGATTGATTAAAATTCATGTACAAAGCTCTTGGGGCAAACATTTAGTAGTAGATATTATCTTCTTTCCTCTACCTCAGGCGGTACCTGACTACGACAACATATGGAAACTGAAGTATCTGGACAACGTCATCACCGAGACGCTCCGACTCTACCCACCTGGTCCTGTGTAAGTTTACACCAATCACTTTCGGTTGTATTTCCAGAGTCCCATGCTTGTTGTAAGACATGAAGAGAATGCTCATGCTATTAACCTTTGGGTTTCACATGACATTGTATTTCTTGTATCAGATTAGAAATGTTTCTGCAGGTGATTTCTCCATAAGTTCAGCAGCATCTACCGACCAAGCTAAAACGACTGCAAAAGAAATGTTTGGACCAAGACATTAAAGGCACAATGTCACACATTTTCGACAATACTTTGGCCTATATTTTATATATTGGGGCATATGCACTCACTTTAGCTTCCTATTGATGCAATAAAAGACTTCTTATCCCATACGACTTGCCTGGAATCGATAATTGAAACTTCAAGTCAAATAGCTTCCAAACAGAGAACACTTGCTATATATGGAATGTAACAACTGCGCCGTACATCAAAAACTGTCACATGTGGTGTTGCATTAATTCATGTGGACTTTTAATTTAATATTGTAATCTATATACGTAAATTATTTTTGAATAAATTATTTGGTAGCTTCCCTGAGGGCTTATAGTTAGTATTATTGAGAGAAATGCATTATTTATTTTTAGAGAAGTGTGGTGTTATATAGTAGGGCTGCAACGAATACACTATGTGGCGAATATGATACATATCATGAATATTGGGTAATGAATACAAATAATTATTCACGAATACAATATTGTAGTTAAGTTGATGTACAATATGGAACGCCCATGTTGACAGTGTTAATTTGTCACAGCAATAACCAGTGATCTCATGACACTCAAATTTGGTATGTAATAGTTATAGTTGGCAGTACCATGTGCGGCCTTGGCAAACTAACATGACTTGCGCTACTGCAATGCTAGTACATGTTCCATTCTTGCACATCTCACTTTGGAAAGGACATAAGGGTTCAAGTAAAACATGCTCCCTTAAAAAAATCTGAAATATTCGTTAATATTTGGTTCTGGTGACCACGAATAACGAATTGAATTCATGAAAGGCTATGATTCGATTCACCGAATGTGTGAGTGAATCGTTACAGCCTTATTATATAGTGCCTTTAAGATTTCTCCCCTCTGTGTAGCCGGTACATATTTCTGGAATGTTTCTCTTTGTTATAAGCAGCAGAATCTTTGTGCTTCTACACAGCACATAACACTAATTAACAAATGAAACAAAACATGTATGAATTAACACTGACTGATTGACTGAGATTGGTTTTGCGCCGCTTTTAGCAATATTCCAGCAATATCACGGCGGGGGACACCAGAAATGGACTTCACTCATTGTACCCATGTGGGGATTCGAACCCGGGTCTTCGGCGTGACGAGCCAACGCTTTAACCACTAGGCTACCCCACTGCCCCGTTATGAATTAACAAACTTCTACACAACACATGAAATTAATTAACAAATTACATAGAATGTGAGAATTAACAAACAAGTTTTAAACAAAATCAGTAAATGTGCTGTCGTGTCACTCCAAATTGTCACAGTTTACTGGCTGCCATCGTATGATAGGTGTACTGCCATATAATTTCCAGCAACAATCAAACACTCACTATTAATCCAGATTGTGTGAGTGGCGGGTAGGACAGGACATACTTGCCCTTCCCAGGAACACCTGGTGTCATCACTGACTTTAAATATTACGTTTTAAATTTGATGACTTTGTCATAAAATCCACTCACTAATGTGGGTTTGTGACTACACAGATACTGTACATTGATCAGCATGGTGAACGGTTTAAACAAGATTAAGTAACTTCTGCTGTCGTTCTGGTAAAATTGATCATCACCAAAAAATGTACATTAAGGAATGTCTTAATGGCTCACTGTGATCTTCTCAGTGGCTGCATTTCATTTTGTTACTTTTTACTTTTATCTGTAAAATGGTCACATAACTTTTGCTACATCTTAGGCAGCTAATGGTCACTGTCAAGGTCATCTTTTATTAATCTTTCATTGTATGCAGTGTCACATGTCAAGGAAATATATTCCGATCTTCCACTCTTTGACAGTATTGTGTTACAGTTGTAGATAGACCTAAGATGGAAGTGACAACATCAGACCCAAAGTTCATGTTAATATTTCATAAGCTGCTGCCATGGGTTTGTGGTAAAGATTTTAGGAAAATATTGTTTTTGAATCTTATGCCAACAATCCAGAAAATATTTCCACAGTAGGAGTGAGTGAGTTTAGTTTTATGCCACACTCAGCAATATTCCAGCTATATGGCGGCACTCTGTAAATCGAGTCTGGACCAGGCAATCCAGTGATCAATAGCATGAGCATCAATCTGCACAATTGGGAACTGATGACATATGTCAACCAAGCCAGCGAGTCTGACGACCCGATCCCTTTAGTCACCTCTTACGACAAGCATGGGTTACTGAAGGTACATTCTAACCCGGACCTTCACGGGTTTCCACAGTAAGAAGGAATAGTTTGTGTATGATATGTATAACAATCCCTCTATAAGTGTATGATTTGATTGACACCCTGTTGGTGAGTGATTTGGGGGGGGGGGGGAATTGTGGTAAATGACAAATGAAAGCTGTTAGGTTTATGATGGAACTATGGCTGTTGATGAAAGGTCAAGGCCTAATGTTCCCCCCCAATGTCCTGTACTGCTGCGATATACAAGACAAACCTGTCAGATAAACATAACTAGGGTGTTGGACACACCATTAGATATGGTTTAACAACATGGAGGACTTGTTCCACTTATTGACTGTGGTAGTAATACAGGGAGACAGTTTACGTCAGCCTACTTTCATATTGCCTTCATACTTGATGGGTTTCCTTCAGGTTGACTCGCAGAGCTTCTGAGACAGTTCAAATCAAAGACTATACGATCACTGAGGGACAAGTCGTCTTCATCCCCATTTTTGCAATGCAAAGAGACCCTGAGCTCTTCCAGGATCCAGATTCCTTCAGACCAGAAAGGTAATGCTAGTATCCATCAGAGGTATCTACTATTGCTGAAGCCACACACCTGTTAAAGACAAATTGGATATTCACTCTCCTTCATACTAGCAATGGGACATGACAGATCCTCTTTCTTAGCTCAGTATGCTGCGTTTGACAGATCTCCGTTCTTAACTCAGTGTGCTGTAACAGATCTCCTTTCTGAACTGAGTGTGCTTGGTTTAACAGATCCCCTTTCTTATCTCACACTGCTCTCTTCCTTTCAGACAGCAAACACTGATTACCAAAGTCCCTAATCATATTGTGTTAGCAAGGGAATTGCTTTTAACATAAAGATAGGATTGTGCCTTTTTTCTGTTTCATGCTTTTAGATTTTGTGTTATATGAATAAAATCTCACATGTGGCTGACCCATGTCATCAGTGGTCTCTGAAGTTATTTCTCACTATTGAACTTTCAGACATGATGAAAAGATCAATCCTTTGACCTTCCTGTCTTTCGGATACGGTCCAAGAATGTGTGTTGGGATGCGGCTAGCGCTGATGGAGACTAAGATTGCCCTGATTCATCTTCTGAGAACTATAAAGTTGGAACCTATGCCAGACACACAGGTATAAGTGAGTGAGTGAGTGAGTGAGTAAAAGATAGTTATGTCACACTGGTAGTTTCAGCCATATTGTGATGACAAGTTGAATGAAAGTACTAAATATAGTTAGGCAAAATGTACACCTTTCATCAATGAACAAATAACTAGATTATCAGAGATACAGTTTATAACTATTTGAGAGCATTTAAAGGAATACATTATTGATCAGCAACATAATCTAAAAATGAGCTATAGATCATCAGTGGATCACCATACTAGGGACCAAGGGGACTGTACTTTTGCTGCCTGCATGGGTTGAAAGACACATCTTCTGGAGATATCTGAGGTAGTCTGTTCATCCAGATGGACATAGCTAGTCTGTTTATCAAGATGGACATAGCTAGTCTGTTTATCAAAATGGACATAGTTGGTCTGTTCATCCACATGGACATAGTTGGTCTGTTTATCAAGATGGACATAGCTAGTCTGTTTATCAAAATGGACATAGTTGGTCTGTTCATCCAGATGGACATAGTTGGTCTGTTCATCAAGATGGACATAGTTGGTCTGTTCATCAAGATGGACATAGTTTGTCTGTTTATCAAGATGGACATAGTTGGTCTGTTCATCAAGATGGACATAGTTGGTCTGTTCATCCAGATGGACATAGCTGGTCTGTTCATCAAGATGGACATAGCTGGTCTGTTCATCAAGATGGACATAGTTGGTCTGTTCATCAGGATGGACATAGCTGGTCTGTTCATCAAGATGGACATAGTTGGTCTGTTCATCAAGATGGACATAGTTGGTCTGTTCATCAAGATGGACATAGCTGGTCTGTTCATCAGGATGGACATAGTTGGTCTGTTCATCAAGATGGACATAGTTGGTCTGTTCATCAAGATGGACATAGCTGGTCTGTTCATCAAGATGGACATAGTTGGTCTGTTCATCCAGATGGACATAGTTGGTCTGTTCATCAAGATGGACATAGCTGGTCTGTTCATCAAGATGGACATAGCTGGTCTGTTCATCAAGATGGACATAGCTGGTCTGTTCATCCAGATGGACATAGTTGGTCTGTTCATCCAGATGGACATAGCTGGTCTGTTCATCGAGATGGACGTACCTATACCAACATCATGTAATGTCTGTTGCACAGTTTTTACCATCAGTGGTGAAATAACTGATTATGTCACCAATATTCAGCATAACACTCTCACGTTTTTCATGCTCTGTTTGTTTACAGGAAGTAATGACGTTTAAGATCTCCAACATTCTTACGCCAGAAAAGGAAATCCGATTGAAATTATCTTCCAGATGCTGAAGTGAGAAAACTATTGGATAACGAAAACAATTATCACTATTGAGAGTTGTCTCTATCAGGCGTTTCAGGATCCTATCCTTGTGGCTTTAATAACTGTTAGCTCTTTTATTTTTACTTTTGTCAACATCATATGTTTGCTCATGGGTTCTGAGACTTAAGGCTTATGCCTTTACACTGTGTGTTGACTGAAATACTGTTCAAAGTGTAATACAACCATTCAATCATCCACTGGGATTCTATTTACTGTCTTTTTTAAGCAATTCAAGCTGACTGGCTAGTTTTCTTCATCAGACAGAACTTGTATAAAGTAAGATATTATCTGTAACTCAATGTTCAAGTTTAACTCCCCTTTTAACAATGTTCCAGTTATATATACCATTAAAAAAAAGTAGGGGATATTCCATTTTGCGAGCATAGCAATGCCAATGCATATGAGAAAAAGTAATATATATCCATACAGATGAAACATTTCCAAAGGAATGGAATAAATTGTCACATTTTCCCTTAATTTCTCTTCATCATCTGTTTCCTCCTTGGCTTCATCATTAGCATTTTATCAATCTTGTAAATCCAATATCCCTACTTTTTTGAATGGTATAGCATGTCAGAATGATAGTGAAAGCATCCAGTCACATAGTGTTGCGCAGTGGAATTGAAAACTAAACTAACTAAAATATGATTCTACCGGTATTTGGGGAACTAAACGTGACTCTCTTCATTAAACTGATGAAATAATTCAAACAATGCATGTGGGGAACTAGACGTGAATCTCTTTTGACAAGCTCTAATGGGGTAAGTAACTTAATGTGATACCTTTACATTCTATTATCTACACTATCTAGCTCTATTGCAGCGTATAGTCTATTATGGTCAGTATCTAGCTCTATTGCAGCGTATAGTCTATTATCGTCAGTATCTAGCTCTATTGCAGCTAGCTATATGGAACTTCTATTACAATGCACTATTAAATTCTGTTTATCTACATCCTATTTTGACGAGCTAACAAAAGGAACCGTGATGAGCTGTCACCTAACTCAAGTAACACCCGAACTCAAGCTACACCCAAAGTCAACTAAAGTCAAAACTCAGAACATTACCAAGCAAAACCTCAACACAACTGACTTCTAACCTCAAGTGCGACCGATTTGATCATTTCCCACGTGGTCAAGAGCATGTGGTTTGACCACACGGGAAAAGTCATGCTCGTCGGTTACCCGCGAAGCATGGTACGTTTACACGATCTGTTCGAACTGTTTGTCTCCACACCACATAGTTCAAAAGCACATATATAACAAATAAGTCTATACCATGTTAAAAGCTGTATAGCCTCCCAACCCGTGAAAGAGTATAACAATTATTTCTGCTGACGTTAATATACAAAATCAGTAACAAACATAACATAACGCCTTATGTATAGTTACATACTTTCAGAGTGATTTCATAAAGAGCAAATGTAAATGCTTATCTATATTGTCTTTGTTAGATTATATTCAATATTTAGATATTTAAGTGTAAAATCAGAAAACATTCTGTTGGGTCATTTTTCGCCAGATGACATACCCCTTTTATTTGAAAGAAAAATGTTTTTACTGGTATAGTTCTCTATTAATTTCACAGGGTAATGATGACAGCTGCTGTTGTCTTTGAAATGTGCCTATATTCCTGTATTTAGAAACTGTATTTTAGAATAGTAGGTCAATAGGCTGTGCCTACTTACTATCAATGCTACTCTGAAATGTTTATGATTTTGTAACATTTTTGTCTTGTTTATATGTCTATATCTTCTTTGTAAACCTTGTTATCTTAATCATTTTCTGTGGTGTTAACAGAAATGTTGAATGTGTAGCAATAACAAGCTGTGCCTATATTCTTGTATTAGGAAACTGTATTTTAGAATATTACCTCAATAGGCTGTGCCTACTTACTGTCAGTGCTACTTTACAATGTTTGCGATTTTGTAACAGTTTTGTCTTTTATATATGTCTATATTTTCTTAATAAACTCAATTACATGTATCTTAATCAGTTTCTGTTATCTTAAAAGAAATATTGACTGTGTGGCAATCCACAGGCAAATTAGCAGCAATCATAGGTTACACAAAGAGAAAAATGACCAGTCTTTCCACATTTGTAACAGTTTTGTCTTTTATATATGTCTATATTTTCTTAATAAACTCAATTACATGTATCTTAATCAGTTTCTGTTATCTTAAAAGAAATATTGATTGTGTGGCAATCACACTTAAACTGTTACCATATAAAACCAACACACATGCAAAATAATCTGAAATTCATGTGCATGAGTTTTTTAATGTAAATTCATATTTCATAAATGAATTTGTTACAGTTTCAATGATACCATGTCCATTACAACATGTAACATTCAAAATAAGAGGTAGTAGGATGAAATTGATTTTTCAAATACAAGGAAAAATTAAATATATGTGATCATATTCACATAACACCTCTAGATTTCATATATATGAGCATCTATATCTGCAGGTGTTGCATTTTGAAGGTTTACCGAGATGCTAGCCCCAGCTATATTGAGGATTGTATACATGTAGCATTACATTATTCACAAAATATAATCAGTAGTATAACAGTACATGTGAAGTACACTCAACAGTAAAAGTTGATATAACAGTACATAAAGTCAACAACTCAAACAAACAATGATATTGAACCTGCATTTATATAGGTAAAACTTTCCCAATAACTTTACACCCTTGGGCATGGAAGTAACACCGATGTTTTGATACAGATTCTTGTACTGCTGTCAACCAAACGAGTTTTGTACCGTTTTCAAGCACATGTACCAAAACGCCCCACTCACGAAATATAAGTTGTTATCCATTACGTTTGTCAATACTACCAAAAGTAAAAACAGATTAAAAAATATCTCCATTTTTTATTTCGATACTGCAGCCATTATTACTCACTCTAAATTTGATGAGTTTTATTTAGCAGTGATGATGATGCGAACCAAGAAGTGGAATTTACACTTTGTACCGACGGGGAATCGAACACAGCTCTACCTAGCCGCCCCACGTGGCCAATGGTAGACCTTACAGCTCATAACACAGTCGTACAAGGAGGCTACTATCAGCAATATTGAAGCAGCATCATGACTGAATGGTCACCACCTTACAGCTCATAACACAGTCGCATAAGGAGGCTACTATCAGCAATATTGAAGCAGCATCATGACTGAATGGTCACCGATGGTAGACCTTACAGCTCATAACACAGTCGTACAAGGAGGCTACTATCAGCAATATTGAAGCAGCATCATGACTGAATGGTCACCACCTTACAGCTCATAACACAGTCGTACAAGGAGGCTACTATCAGCAATATTGAAGCAGCATCGCATTGACTGAATGGTCACCACCTTACAGCTCATAACACAGTCGTACAAGGAGGCTACTATCAGCAATATTGAAGCAGCATCATGACTGAATGGTCACCACCTTACAGCTCATAACACAGTCGTACAAGGAGGCTACTATCAGCAATATTGAAGCAGCATCATGACTGAATGGTCACCACCTTACAGCTCATAACACAGTCGTACAAGGAGGCTACTATCAGCAATATTGAAGCAGCATCATGACTGAATGGTCACCACCTTACAGCTTATAACACAGTCGTACAAGGAGGCTACTATCAGCAATATTGAAGCAGCATCATGACTGAATGGTCACCACCTTACAGCTTATAACACAGTCGTACAAGGAGGCTACTATCAGCAATATTGAAGCAGCATCATGACTGAATGGTCACCACCTTACAGCTCATAACACAGTCGTACAAGGAGGCTACTATCAGCAATATTGAAGCAGCATCATGACTGAATGGTCACCACCTTACAGCTTATAACACAGTCGTACAAGGAGGCTACTATCAGCAATATTGAAGCAGCATCATGACTGAATGGTCACCACCTTACAGCTCATAACACAGTCGTACAAGGAGGCTACTATCAGCAATATTGAAGCAGCATCATGACTGAATGGTCACCACCTTACAGCTCATAACACAGTCGTACAAGGAGGCTACTATCAGCAATATTGAAGCAGCATCGTGACTGAATGGTCACCACCTTACAGCTTATAACACAGTCGTACAAGGAGGCTACTATCAGCAATATTGAAGCAGCATCATGACTGAATGGTCACCACCTTACAGCTCATAACACAGTCGTACAAGGAGGCTACTATCAGCAATATTGAAGCAGCATCGTGACTGAATGGTCACCACCTTACAGCTCATAACACAGTCGTACAAGGAGGCTACTATCAGCAATATTGAAGCAGCATCGTGACTGAATGGTCACCACCTTACAGCTCATAACACAGTCGTACAAGGAGGCTACTATCAGCAATATTGAAGCAGCATCGTGACTGAATGGTCACCACCTTACAGCTCATAACACAGTCGTACAAGGAGGCTACTATCAGCAATATTGAAGCAGCATCGTGACTGAATGGTCACCACCTTACAGCTCATAACACAGTCGTACAAGGAGGCTACTATCAGCAATATTGAAGCAGCATCGTGACTGAATGGTCACCACCTTACAGCTCATAACACAGTCGTACAAGGAGGCTACTATCAGCAATATTGAAGCAGCATCGTGACTGAATGGTCACCACCTTACAGCTCATAACACAGTCGTACAAGGAGGCTACTATCAGCAATATTGAAGCAGCATCATGACTGAATGGTCACCACCTTACAGCTCATAACACAGTCGTACAAGGAGGCTACTATCAGCAATATTGAAGCAGCATCATGACTGAATGGTCACCTCATAACACCTTACAGCTCATAACACAGTCGTACAAGGAGGCTACTATCAGCAATATTGAAGCAGCATCGTGACTGAATGGTCACCACCTTACAGCTCATAACACAGTCGTACAAGGAGGCTACTATCAGCAATATTGAAGCAGCATCATGACTGAATGGTCACCACCTTACAGCTCATAACACAGTCGTACAAGGAGGCTACTATCAGCAATATTGAAGCAGCATCATGACTGAATGGTCACCACCTTACAGCTCATAACACAGTCGTACAAGGAGGCTACTATCAGCAATATTGAAGCAGCATCGTGACTGAATGGTCACCACCTTACAGCTCATAACACAGTCGTACAAGGAGGCTACTATCAGCAATATTGAAGCAGCATCATGACTGAATGGTCACCACCTTACAGCTCA